CACTTTTAAAAAAAATACACCTATTAAGCTATATAATATGAATTTTTATAATAAATTATATATTTTTATAAAAAGAAATCTTTATTATTTATAATAAATTGAACGTTTTATTATTTTATTGCTAATTATTTATGTATAACTAATAAAACATTATTATTAATTACAGTACATGGGACATGTCACATGACCGATACAAATCAAGCGAAAAAGTCGATTTTTTTGGAAATGATCATCAACAAATTATAATGTCAATCTATTCGCATCTTGAATGGCATAACAACTGCAGTACAAACAATATTATCATATATCGTAATTTATTTTTAAATATTTAACATATTTATTTTATTTGTTAGATATTCGATCTGACTACCAACAGAGTTTCTCTTAGTGTTAGCTAGAGTTTTCAATATTTGTACTGATAAGTTTCAGAAAAGACTTATAGAAACTTTAATAAAACTTTATTTCCCCCTTTCAATTTTCTTAAAACGTTGATTGTTATGATTGTTATAACTAACTACACTAGTAAATCGTATTGATTAAATATGCATAAATCTTTCTTAAGACGGCCTAAGTTAGATTTAATTAATTGTTTGTTGACTTGAAAAGATAGTATATCCATATAACACTAGATATGTAATGTAAACAAATATCGAATATTAAAGAAAATTCAGTACAGATAATAATTATACTAAAAAAAAGGTTTATAATGGTTTATTTAATATTAAAGAATAGACTCTAGCATATACATAATTATTATTTAGTTGTGCAACTATTTATCATTTGTTCTAAATAAACAAGTTTAATTATAATAGGCAATAAATATTATTACCAGTATGAAATTTATTCTATTTATCCTTCCGGAAAAATAGTCCATTCAAGTCCCATTTACTTTTCAAAAAAGGAGATGTTCAAATGTTAAACGTGAGAGAAAGCTGTCAAGATATCTCACTTGGAATTACTAAGTACTAGCGTGCTATTTTTGTTAAGGTTAGAAATCGATTTTCTTTTCAATTAAATTGACTTATTGTTTTTGGAGACAAAAATTATTTAACGTTTAATTTTTCTTAATGATAATCATTAGTCACATACAGTTCGCGTTTACAAAATAACAGGCGAACAATCGAGTAGATTCGGGTACCCAAGGATTAAATGGAGTAAACTTTACATAATAATGAGGAACTTATTATAATTATTCCTCTGAAACTCAAAAATCTAAAAGAATTTTGCTGGAAAGAAATCGAGGTATGCATGCTTGATCTTTCTGCACAATTGAGGGTGTATTAAACACTATGGTATAGAGCAAAGTGTGATATTTTTTCTGAAAATGGCAATGGATCCGACTAAATCGTAACAGTAAACATTAATCGATATATTTCTTTATAGCTATAAAGAAAGTTGATCCGTGTTTTGTTTTCCATGTTTATTCCGTGAAGGGCTTTTTTCGCGGAATTTATAAACTTAAATCACGTAAATTTTCATACCAAACGGATTCCGTGAAAGGCTTATTTTCACAGAAATAATGGAAATATACGGGCGAAATTTTTTATGCGAATTGTATTGTATGTAATTGTATGTAACGAAATTTTATTTTGCAATTATATACAAAGTAATTTTTATTAATAAAATTATAACTTACCGAATATTATGTTAAAAATACTGTTTTAAAAAAAAAGGGTTTTCGAATATAAAAAGTTATCGAGAAGCATATATCGATTTCAATTTTATAAAGCAGCTATATAGCTACAGCTAAGCTACTCGGTAATAGCGTACAACCATTTATTAATAATGGAGTAACATGCTCGGAATCAGTAGGATACATAATGACGTTAAATGGCCAAATATTTCTCATTGAGAATACGAATTAAAATATGTGCAATTCTTGGTACTGGAAAGACATTTTACGATGCAATGACTTACATAAAATAAATTTTATAATATATGTTTGCTGTAATAAAGATGTTAAAACGAATTTCACAATATTTCTTTTTTTGATTTACAAACCAATAATAACGTAGTTAGTATAATTTCGATTCAAATCTCAATAAAGTGCTTTATTATATTATTTTTGTAAAGTAATACATGAAAAAAAAGCCGGCCGGCTAAGTAAATGTAAATACAAGGTAAGAGTTTGTTTCACCACTATTCCAAAACTAACCACCCTTTCCCTTATAAGTTTATCCCTTATAAGTTTATCTAATGATGAAAAGAAGAGAATTGGTTAGATCCGACTAAAAAGTAGTGTAAAATTATACAAAAGTAAATACATACCTTTAGAGATTGTATCGTTTCTCCATTCATATTCGGTAGAATTTTCTAAAATT